TATTATTTAGTTATTTTTAATATAACAGTAATTATTAAATTTATGAATATGATTTATTAACACTATTTATTAAATTAATAATTACCAAAATTAAATTAAATTAACAGTATTTATCAGTAATAGTCAGTAATTATAATATTTTATTAAATAATCAATAACAATACTTTTAATAATATTTTTAATTATTTTTAATATAACAATAATTACTAAATTTATTAATAATATTTATAATAACAGTAATTATTAATTATAATCGCTAATTATATATTTATTAAATTACTATAATAATCAGTAATTATTAAAACCGGGTTACTAAATTTATTAGCAGTATTTTTTAAAAACAATACTTATAATTTTAATTTAAAGTAAAATTGAAGTAAATATCTAATTATTAACAATATATAACAGTAATTATTAATTATAATCACTAATTATATATTTATTAAATTAATATAATAATCAGTAATTATAATTATTAAGTTAATGTAATAATCAGTAATTATTATTACAGTAATTATAAGATTAAGTAATTAACAATCAGTAATTGGAAATGGATGGTCGCACGTGGGCCCTATTCGCACGAATAAATTCCATTTGCTGGATGGAGAGAGCACCATATCCTTTTAATATATATATATATATATATAAAAGATTTTACGCTTTAACAATCTTGACTCTAAAGTTTGCTCTTAAGAACTCTCTTTGTTCTTCACTTGACGAGCTTGGGTTTTTTCAGGACCTGTTTGGGTTCAATTCTAATTGAAAACGTTGAGGAGGAAAACCCACACTTGCCCACCACAATTTCAACTTCCGAGAAAAACCCGCATTTATATACAAGAGCTTCTGATATTTCTCTCCAAAATAGGTAGTCTCCGGCGGGATGAATGGTATTTTGGGGTTTTTTCTGGATTGTGTTCTTCGCATGGATGGTTTGCTCTACTGAAAAAATACTTTATGTTTGTAAGCATTTGTTTGAGACGTAAAAAAATAATAATTATCAGAGTAAAATTGTATTTTTGACATTTGCGTACTTTAAGAAGAGAATATTATTGTACCTATTTTTTAATACAATTTTGTATTTATTTGATAATTAACTTTTTGATGGAAGTTAAGGCATATAAGATAATTGGAGCATTTAATGATGGACCCATACTTTACACTGATTTCAAACAAATAAGATGAAAAAAATGATTTAAAATGTGAGTCGTGTTTGCATTCATGAACTGAAAAATGAGTAAATATAAAATATACATATTTGTGTTTGCATTGCAACCAAACATAGATAGGCTCAATTTAAAAGGAGTACAAATGCAAATATATAGAGTGCAAATTTTGTATATGTACATATTTACATTTGTACTCCTTCCAAACTGAACCAAGCGAATGAGCGATATCCACATTACACATTAAGAGTCGGTGTATTTAATGGGGTCAGTGACTTTTCTAAGACGTCTCAGATACTTATAGCGGTTCTGTTCTGAGACGGACATGGAAAACTTCTGAGATGGAAGCGGAGGCAGAGATAGAGACGAAAACGGAGGAGGTAGAGATGGAGATGGATATGGAAAGAGAAACATAGAGGGAGAGGGAGAAGCAATCTGAAATTATTCATCATTTGGGTTTTATTTTGAAAATTTGAGGAATAAAAAATGATAAATTTTACATTTCACTTTCTCAGTGCTAACAATGATGTCAATTGTTAGGAACAGTAAGGGTGGTGTAAGACAATAGTTAAACATATGGTTTTTAAAACTGGATCGGATTGAACAATTAGGCCAGAAAAATCGGGAACCGATCAGGTCCATTTTACCCCGGAACCATTATTTCCCCCAAAACCATTGATTTGGTCAGCAAACCACTGACTTGGGCAGTCAAACCGTTCGAATCATTTAACAGTTTGCCTGTTTTTTATTTTTTAATTTTTTTTATCAGAACCGATTATTCATTTGATTCAAACGATCAAACCATTCAACCCAAAAACCAGACCCAGCTGATTCATTGTTTAATTCAGTTTTAAAAAATCTTGATGAAACAATAAGGGTATAGTTAGTTAATTAGCTAAACAGTAAACAGTAAGAATAATTTATAAAATTTGCCCATTAAATAACATCTTAAATGCATATTAAGACCTGCTGTTGCCACCCCGCTTTTGCTCAGGCTTCGTTGGTTGTTTTGAGACATTGAGTCAATGACTGAAACAACCACTCTACCTTAGCTGTTCTCGTATTTTTTTTGTTTTTTCAATTGGATATTGTTTAACATTTTGATTTTTAGGACAACAGAACGAGGTTGAGTAATTGGATTAGAATGATTTTCATTGTTTGTCTCAATTTGTGGAAAAGCACTGTTTCCCATATACCCAGCTAAAATGTGAGTTCAATTGCTAAAATTCCCGCTTTTCTTGAATATCTAGCAAAGTAAAATTGGACCCATATGAGGAATTTAAAGATATGAAATTCATATTTCCAATTTTACCATCAAATCCAAATTGTCCCTGATCCAAATGCAACCTAAAAGGAAACATCCTTATTTCTTTTGCAAGAATCAATCCTCAATTAAAATGATGGGCATTCTATACGGGTGATCAGTATTCTGCAACGTGAATAATGTTTTTTTTTTTTTTTTCTGTTTTGTTTTGATTTTTAGAGTTTTAGATGGGGTAATAGCATATAATGGCAACTTTTGGGGTTTAATATTAAGAAAAGTAATATATTTAAAATAATTTCAAAAATAGGTTAACTTTTTAAAAAGTATCAATAAAGGGCAAAAACACAGTTCATCTTCTTCTTCTTGCCATTTGTTCACTGTTTGCCACCGTCTGCTGTCGCCCGTCGCTGCCTCTGCCTCCGACAACATTGTCGGAGGTGGGTGGAGACAGAGGTGGCGGTGGCGGCGGGTAGAGGAATGACCACCAGCACCGTTGTTGCCACCTCTGCCTCCGGCAACATTGCCGGAGGTAGTGGCGGACGGTAGCGAACGACGGTGGTGAGTGGTGGCAAGCGGCGGCAGACATCGGCGGGCGGCGGTGGATGGCGGCGGACGATGAACAAATGGCAAGAAGATAAATAGTGTTTTTGCCCTTTACTGATATTATTTTTAAAAAGTTATCCTATTTTTTATTTTTTTAAATATATTACTTTTATTGATATTAAACCCCAAAAGTTGCCCTTATATACTATAAACCCTTTCTAGATTCCTACATCAACAAAAGGAAAAAAAAAACAAAATATGTTTTTATTTTTTAAAAGCAAAAATAAATCCGTTTTATTTTTAAAAACAACTTACGTTTCTGAAATCATCAAATGATGGGCTTTTAAAGAAAAAAATTGTTTTGAGTACAGATGAGATGATGTATGATTCATGAAAGATAATAAGATAAATTATATGATTTAAAACAAAAGCATATTTTTTTTATGTATATTTTTAATTTGTTTCTGAAACTTGAAGGCTGCGTTTGGAAACAATGTAAATGGAATATAAATCCTGGTTCAGGATAAATTTGCACTCTAGTTCATTTTTGCATGTATTTGGCAATATTACATTTTTGCATTAACAAATGATAGAGCAGTGTATATTTACATTGATAATAAGGTGTAAAAGTATATCAATAAAGTAAATTTGCACTCAGGTGGGCTTTTGATCATATATATATGCTTTATTGGAATTTATGTTTGCATCCATTACAGCTAAAAGTCTGTTTGATAAAAAAGTAAATTTGTCAATGCAAAACTAATCCAACTTTATAATTTATATGAACCGTTTTACACTCTATATATTTGCATCGTTTTCAAACACAGCCAAAAAGAAAAACACTAGTGCAAATTTTGATATGTTATTGCTTCAGGCTTAACTTTTGTTTTCTTTGTTTGCAGCGTGGATACAATAAAATAAACTTGTTGAAGCAAAAGAAGGTAAAACCAGAATGGAAGCTTTTCAGAAAACGCTCAGAGACGGACACGTGATTAAGATTGTATAAGGCCTGAACACTCTATTCATTGACTAATGTTCAGCCATTCAGGCCTATATCTATCCAGCGGAACTGATGAGGACACTTGGATCCTTCATGGAATGACCAAACTGAACTCCAAACATCCTGATTACAAGTGTTCTGTTGCTGGCCCTAGAAGGTGGCTTGCATCATTCATGGATGGAAGGAGTCAAAAACTCAAAAATGAACTCACATTCTCACTGTCTTTCATGCAAACCCAAAACATTTTGGCCTCTTTCTCCAGAAGACCTGACTCCTACTCTCTCCTAGACTTCCTTTCTCTTTCTTCCTTCACTAGCACAGGGCACTTGCTGGGTTCTCTGAGCAAGGCAGTGTTAGTGCGTCACAGATTTATCTCTCCAGACCTCCATGATGTGACACTCTAGGGATTCAAGGAATCAAGAGAACCGCATTCTCATTCCTTGGGGTCTCAAAACCTTGGGCCATTCAATCAAAAAAGAGGAGCAGAGACCGCAGTTTCCCATATTAAATAACATATAGCATTTGAGACATTATTTAACATTATTTGATTATTTCCAGTTAAATATAAGGCTGCATTTGGACCACCAGGGCACACATGAGTGGAACTGGATGAAAATCTGGAATTCAAAGCCCAAAATCCCCATCTTTGTTGAATTCTGTAGTAGTAAAGATTGCTTATTTCAATTCAAAATAAGCAAACTAATTTGTTGAATTCTGTGGATTAGAAAACGTTGCTTATTTCTCCGAGAAAAATAATTTGTCAAAGAATACAGGTGGGCAAAATAATCTTATTCAAGTTCTTTGGCATCAACATGGAGTTGGGTTCTCATTTGACACGTCCAATCCAGAATTCATCCATTTTAGAATGACAAATTTGCCTTGAAAAACATATAGAAGGAAAACCATTCACAGTGAAATCATTTCATTTGGCTTTTATCCAAGGAATTTATAATAGCATAGAGCTGTTGTGTAGGTTAAAACGTTTCCATCTATCCCTTTATCTTAATTACCATACTTCAATAAACAAGGATTGATAAAAAACAAATTCATATAATTATGGCCCATTAATTCATCTGGATTCATATTGTCTTCATTGAATCAGAATAGAAAGTGACAAGGAAACAAGAAATGAAGAAATCCTCCTCTAATTCCATCAACCAAAAGTTATAAAAGACACAAACAGAAAGTCATTGAATTCTGTCTGTCCTGGAGTCACTTTTGGCTATCTACAATTGAAGACTTTTGTCAAGGCTTGTGAAAAACTCTTCCAGCCAGCAAAGCAGCATCCATGACAAGAGTGAGCACATCCACCACCTCATCCACTGAGCACTTGTTTCCTTTGAATGTACGCCCTCTTGAGTCCCTGAAGTGGGTCATGCAGTTGATGAACTCTTGGCTGCACTGTTGGCTGAGATAGTCATCTGACACCAAACCCACCACCACCCACCACAATACAACGTTAGCTAGTCTGAAAACAAGCTAAGTCTCTATCTTACAAAAGTGAACACTTAAAACCTTGACAGCCAAGGTGGTCCCCTGATGCATTTTAGCAATAATTCATAGAGATGGGCTCACTCTCAGAGCTTTTTATACAAAATTCTTGCTAACATGAGCTATGGCAATCCTTTTTGATTTATAAATCTCACTCTGTTATAGTAAAATTTTAACATGCAAAGAGACAAACAGTTATTGAATTTAAAGAAAAAGATTCAAGTCATTTTATCGTAGCCTTTTATTTAGTAAATTGGATAAACATGTGGTGAACACGAAAAAGATTTTATTTACATAAAAAAATAAAAAGAGCACTATTGGACCATTTGATCAGAGTAAAGGGAAATTTGCATTGCCAATTGATGAAACAATCCCCAAAGCTGGGTGTCTTTAGGAAATCAACCTGTGTTTGTAGGCTATAAACGGGTTGGATCGACCCTGATCATCATGAGGCACTGATCCGAATATAGATTTATAGTAGGTAGCAAGTGTAGAATGGATAATGTAAAGCTATCGGGTTAATAGGATCCGACCCGATAATTTAAACCCGTTAAAACAGTTAACTGTCTAAGATGTGAATACACCTTACAATGTAAATTTCATATGGGGAGTATATTTGTTCTATTACATATAATAGGAAAAATAGTGTCATAATGGAGTCAAGAAGGTAGGGTGCTAGATGACCCCACCTATTTCTATCACGTGAAAGAATCCTGTAGTTGATCCCAACCATCAATTGGCCTGGAACCCTTACTCCCCCAATCCACAATACTCTTATACTCTCTAGTCTCCACCATTGCATTGGAGTTTTCCTGGCTAATGATAAAATCTAGACTCGTTTTTTTAATTAAGAAAGCCGAGAAAGAGAACCCATTTTCTAGAATTGGAATGTAAATGGGTTTGTTCGAATCAAAATTGAAAATGGATTTTCTTTACAAAGTATGTATTTGGTATAGCTTCGCTTTCGTTCTTATTTGATTTGTTTTCAAAATCAAGAAAAGTACTTGATAAATCTTTTATGGAGTATTAGGCATTAATGAAGTTTTTCCATCGATGCATACATAAATCAAAATACATTTTTATAAATATGATGAATATAATGAAAAAATGCTGATTTAACAATAACAATAATAACATTTTAATTAACACCTGTCACAAAACGCCCACCAATGCCTTGAAGCAAAGGAGCAATTCCTGGGTGACCCAAAAAGGGTGTTTTAGAAGTTTCAAAACCGTGAGATTGGAACTTCTAAACTTCAAAACTGTTATGATACGATTTTATTCCGACATTGGTGGAGTCATCTATATCATCTTTGTAATGCATTCTCAATTAAAACCCCAATCCAACGGTTCTGGCTTAAGGATCATAGCCTGTCCTGTTCTCCTAAGGACAGTCCCTACATTATTATAGAACTGTTGAAATCTGAAATGAACTTACTGTTCTTAGCTTGAATGCAGGCATCATGCTTCATACAACAAGCGTCAAGGCCATCACAAGGCTTCTCCCCTGGACATCCACTGTATAGAAGCCCACAGTACTTCCCATATCTTAGAAATGGAGGCACTGTAATTGACATAAGAGAAAACTCAATTTGAGAAAACCATAAACATTGATTCATTAAACAAAACCAAAACAACCCATTTGGGTTGAAGCATAAATCATCAAACATCAACATTAATCAATCAAAAATAACCAGAAGAGCCCACTAAAAATCTAGTAGAGCAGAAGTTTCTAAAAGATAAAGGAAGAGAAGAACTCTGATTACCTGCACAGAACTCTGATTCACACTTTCTACTGCATTCTTTGGACTGTAGAAATGTAGAAAGACAAAATTAAAGAGAACAAAGAGCAATGCATACATGAATTGGTTCAAAATGGTGGAAAGATTGAAGAAGAACTAACCACAGTGATAGCCGTATTCGTGGCCTGGATTCCGATATTGAGGGCGTGAACAGAAGTGGTGGAGAAGTGGAGGACAAGGAGGGAGCAATAGAGGAGAAGGGCTAACTTCATTGACTGGTCACCAGCCATTCCCAAACTCTGATGGAACTACCAGAGGAAGAAGAAAGGGAAGAAAAGGCTCTGAAATTTGAAGCTCGGTTATCCCTGAAGGATCTGATTTATAGAGGGAAAGAGGGGTGGAGGGAGAAGGTGAGAGGTCTCCTGTGAATGTGAAGAGTGAGAGGCTTAGAAAGGATGGTCAGGATTTGTCCTGTTTTGGCTCGTGACATGGTTTTTTTGTTGTGTTGCTCACGCTTCTCACCGAATTTTCACGTATTGAAAATACATGAGGTGGATGTGGGGCCCACCCCTTAAAAGGGCCAAACTCATCGAAGTCCTCTGATACACCTGCAAGTTCTTCAGTGAGGGAGAAGGAAATGATAAGGTACATCTATCTCATATTATTGTAAATTCAGCTTTTAGCTGCCTAGGCACGGGACCCACCCGGAACATAACCTGTCAGTGGTCTCCATCTTTCATCTTTGGGGGATCACCTTTCTGCCAATGTGAACATTAAAAACCAGATGATTCTGCGCACGTGAATCTCTATATTCAACAGATTCAGCCTTCTGGCTCTTGGTCTGGGGTGATCAGAAAAAGTAATGGCCAAAAATTCGACAGATCAGACGGTCAGAGAGTTCCCATCATATCAATTTCAGTAATTGAGGTTTGAGACGTTAAACCAGAAACAGTGGGTCTCGCGCTCCCATTTCTGCTTTAAACTTTGATTACTTTACACTTAACCCAATAGCAAACGCTGGTCATCAGGATTGTCCGTAGTTAATTAAGACTTTAAGAGTTCAGACCATTCCTTTATCGGGATGCTAGGTGAACGCGCATTTAATGCACGTGGGTGGCACGGGATGCTGACAGCCGGTTAGCTGTTTTTGTTTAGGAAAAATAAGAACGTTTGCATTGTCAAACACCCTCCAAGGCACTGTTTGTTAACAACGGTTTTTTCTTTCCCAAGGCTCCGTTTGTTTCACTTTATAAGAGAGAACATTTTTTCTACCTCTAAAAATTCAGTTTTTTTTTGGCTGTTATTTCACACTAAAATGATTTAAGTGTTATTTGATACTTTGATGCTCTTATTATATATATACATAAAGAAAAAAAAGCAGTTTAACACCATTTCATAATTAAGGCATATATATTTGTTTGCAGTGGAGTTTCATTTGCACTGGTGCAAAGGTATAGAATGCAAATGATTTGAGTGAAAATTCTGGTTTAATTTTTTTTTTCCAACATTTTCCTTATTTTGTTTGTTTACACTACAGTGCAGATGAAATAAAACAAAACCTAGAAGCAAGACAAAGTAAAAGCTGAAGCAAATGTATGTTGACTAGAAATTACTCTCATTTGCATTCTGATGCATATGTATTATGCAAAAGAAATTGCACTGTAAAATGATCGTGCAGCTCGCCACTAGCATTTATTTATTGAATTCGGGTTTGCTCCTTACAGAGCGTGCCTCACACCGATCTCACACACTTGTAGCCATGGGAATATCATACAAGTATGGGAGATATTCCTGATATACGACTGCAAGTACTGTGAGACATTAAGGTTGGTGTGAAATGCGCTCTGTAAGGAGCAAATCGCGACTCTAATTTAGTGCCCAATCCCTTGCAAACTCTATATACTATGAAATAGACCCTTGAATTGCCACGGCACCGACTATGTTTTAACATAAAATTCAATGGTTAATGGCATGGTTTTCAAAACCGAACCAGACCAAATGGTTGGACCGAAAAAACCAGGAATCAATCAGGTGATCGGTTCCATTTTTCTCCAAAATCGGAATTTTATCAAAAAACATTGATTTGGTTGATAAACCGCTGATCTAGGCAGTTGAACCGTTCGAACCATTCAATGGTTTTGACCTTTTTTTATTTTTTTATTTTTTGTCAGAACGGGCCATTCATTCAGTTTGAACAATTGAACCATTCAACCCAAGAACTGGACCCCTGACCAATTCGTTGTCCAGTTAGATATTAAAAACCCTGGTTAAGGGTCACCCATTTTATCTAACAGCCAGAGTTGAAAACTTGTGCAAATTCTAGTTACAATTGAGGGTTATTGCTCAATTTAACTAGAACTAGCTCTAACTTTATGTGTCTATCTCCTTGCCATACACTCTCATCTTCTCTGACTTGATAAGGAAATCTCAAATTTTGGTCTTTTATCGTGTCTGTAGAAGAATCTGTTTAAGCAAATGAATGATGAATTCGATCAGACTCTATTAGCTTAGTTACAGATGAGTATATCCACAGGATGTGATATTCTGGTCAATAAGGTGGGGCCAAGCTCCCAAAATATCTTAAAAGAGTACAAGAGTCCATGAGATATTTTAATTTTTGAGGAAAGCTTGTTCACTCGCATTTGGAAATTTGGATGCTGGAGATAACGATGAGTTCTGTTAGGCCTGAAGTAAATAGCTGGTTGGATGCAACCTGTTTGGGTCGGGTACTTGGGTCAACCCAAGGTCATTTTGTTCTGGCTTAGGATCATCAGATCCAAGAAAAACATATGAGGAGAGAGGGATTGAAAATTTGAGTTGCTTGGGCCTCCAACTAGAACCCAAAAACAGAGACATGCATTCGGGTAGAACCCACATACCCGGGTTATATGATAATGAGTGCCCTGTGTATCACAGAATTCACTAGCATTTATAGGCCTCTAGCTAGGTGGGACTGTTATTTCTCAAGATATTTTGGGTGAATCATGGTGGGGATTGGAAGTTGAGAACCTTCCACAGAGATTTCTAATCGTTGATTTTGACATGATAACTAACAAATCCCTATCCATCAAATGGTGGGTCCTATTTCTGGTATTGGACTATTAGCTGTTGTTGGGGGAAAATAACAACAACAGTAACTTATTTAAGAATGTATTTGGAGCATGTTTGGATGCCACATGAAATAAAATCATTAATACGTTATTGTTTTTCATAGAATTTGAAACCCACAATAGCATCATCTAAGATGGAGTTGGGAAGAAAAAAAAGATAGAAATAGGTTATTAGTTTTAAATCCTTAGATGAGCTGACAACTATCCTTCCAAACACCCCGGTAAGGTTTTTATCTTGCTTGAGTTAGATGCAAATTAAACAAAGTTGGTTGAATTTTTAATCTAGTTTCTGCTATCCTATCCATTTCATCTCATTTTGGAATCCAAATCCATGAAACTCCATTCAAACCATAGCCCATAATAAACCGCACTATTGAAAGCATATTGTGAATTTAATACATAGATGAGGATTACATAAGATGGGTTTTCAAGTTGGATGTACATAGCCAAGACAAGTGGCAAATTAGGTGCAGTTTTGATCCTTTCCCTGCATCAATCTCTCCTTGTGTGGCAAGTTTCAATCATTTTGGTCTTTTTATTTAAATAAACTTTCTCTCTGTAAAGTAGTATTCTAAATAAAAAAGAGACTGAAGACTTCAACCACTGGTGTTATATCAGGAAAAGAGTTGAATAGAGAATTGGGTTGCAACTGATGTAAAGTGTAAACTGGGGCATTGAACGAGTAACCAATACAAAATGGCTCTGCCAAAAGGCTTTTGAACAACTTTGGTTTGTTTATTGATTTTATAGAGCGGTTGGGGTTGGGGATGTGGCAATGTACCATAAAAGAGTTGTTGCATTGATTGATTGGTTACAAACAGAGCAAATACAGAAAATCATGCAAGCTTTTGGATAAGAAGACATGTTTTCCATGATCAAGTTGGATGGAAGATCATTTTCATTAACAATGTAGGAATGATCAACTGAAACCCTAAAATAATTTCACAATAAGAGAGGTTGGTTTGTGATAGATTGTGGCCTTAGTGGTTAAGGATAATTTCTGTGGGGCCAAAATGTACTATAATATCTTAGGGATCTTCCTTTCCTAGGTGTTTGCATGTTTCCATTAATGCATTGGCTTTTATATGAAACAAAAGTAACATGCCATGAAAATATGAAATCAATTACTTAGTAAAATCACTAGAGAGAAGTCATAAATTAATAAAAAGTTGTTTTCATTAATGCATTAGATTTTATGTGAAAGAGGTTGGTAAATATTTTTATTAATATATAGTAGTTGCAGTGCAGATTGCTTGCCGTATCATCCCATTACTTAGAAAAATTGTTTTCTTTTTCACAAATTAATTGATTTTATTGCGGATAACAGTATTCCAATCGAGTGTTGCTTTCCTCTTGGTCAAAGAGATGAGTATAAATAAAAAGTTAGAAACAAAAATCAAGAACAAAGAGAGCTTCATATCAGAGTATATGAGTTTTGTGTACTGAAAGGAATACAGGGTTGAAGGGGTTGTCTCAGCAGGCCTTGGGCCACAGGACCCACATTTGCAATGTGACAGGATGGGCCCAATGACTTACTGGGTGGATATCCAAAGAATCAGAATCCACCATTGGATGGTCGTGGTCCCCCTAATGTATGTGAAAGGGTCCCTGCCAAAATCAGCATGATCAGATGATCAAAAACTAAACGCCACACATCTGGCACCAGATTTTAAGTTTGTTTTTATTTTTTTTTTAATTTATTAAATATATCTTACGTCGCAAATCACGGACCCCAGACAGTGATCCATATCCTCTGCTCTCATACTCAAACTTTTGCCTTTTGTAGACACTTGTGTATGAAAGCAAGCGGCCTCAGACAACATTGCACCATTTGACAACTCCCCATAGAAAGGCCTGTCGCCTGTCGGTGTGGAATAGTGTATCTCTGTGTGTATGTTCACACTGAGGATCATTTATTTAATTGCCCCATATCCAGACAGATATGATCTGGCTAGTATGGTCAATCCTTTGTGTGTGTTCATAGTCCACATTTTGGGATGTAATAAAAGAGAGGGTAAAAGTGTCTCCTAAAAGGCAAAATTGATGGAATGATAACAGTGGAAGAAATAGTGTTGGAATCTATAAAAGTACACGGTAACTCTTTGTTGTAAATGAATATTCAGCTACTCAAGTGTCACTAACTCTAAAGTATAAGGTAGTTCGTTGTATTTTTTCCAATATTTTGTTTATAAGTTGGTAGGCGCAAAAGCTCAACTTGACCCAGTGACGTCCACTGTTGGTTCAGATTGGACTCGCCCAAGTTGTATCTCTATTTATATAAAATTGCATCATGTCAAAATGCTAAAAGCCTCTTTTGTGA